AAGATCCTTTTTTTTTTTTTTTTTAACAAAAAGAAGCCAATTCACGGAATCAAATTGGTTGGAGGACACTCGCGCTTGAAAATCCACAAAACAAACAGTGTCAGTGATAGCTCTCTATTTCGGAGCTCAAGGTCCTCGTTGATAGCGAAAAAAAAAAAAAAAAAATCTCGCATCATAAACGCCTCGTACAGGTATACCGATTGCATTCGCGTCAATGGTTCACAGGGATTGTAACAACCGTCAATATCGTTATCAAATTCCATGAATTTTCGGTTTAAAGCATACGACCTTTACCCGCACGACGTAACATCAAGCCTTGAGATCTTTGAGAATCAAGTCATGCGATTTTTGTAGCCATTATTTGCAAAAAAAAAGAAAAAAAAAAGAAACCTTTGGTGTTTCGAGTTGAATAGAGAGTTACACGTCTTCAATTCACATAAATATAGCATCGTATTATTATTATTATTAGATAAAAGGACAATAAAGCGACGACCTCACTGGTATATCTCCACAATTCACGGGCTCTTCGAATCCGGAAAAGCCCAACGTCTGGAGTTAAAGAACCGCGTCCGAGGCATCATCGGGACAAAGAAGAAGTGGACGCGGCAGCTTCCGGTCTTGGACGTATCCACCACGCCCATGTTCATACACATGTTGGTAAACTCGAGCGCACCAGCATGAACAACAATTATATAATAATAAAAACAATGAGCGCGTGTGTACATCTTTATCTTTGCTGGCCCCGATACTATACCCGTCCCCTGTCAACGAGTCACTCGCGTATTTCGTATATAGGTGGGGTTCCTTTCTTAGCCGGTTGGTATATAAAGTCGCCGACTGCCGCCGGTTCATTTATCAGTGCATATGCGCTTCTCTTGCCGATTCCTCAAATACCTTGTATCTCTGTTTTGAGGAATTTTCTTTCTTTTTTTTTTTTTTTTTTTTTCTTAGTTTTAGTTTTTTTATTGATTGTCGGTGCTTGTGATTATATTGACCCAAGGTAGGTACAGAGTGGCGTTATTATAATTTTTTATTCAATCTTTATTCGATCATTGTCGGGAGTGTCAGTCGTGGGAGAGTATAACCATTAGGGACGCCGTAGAAAAAATCGGTAAAGTCTCTGCCGATGTTTATCATCTTCGACGAGTCATTTGTATATTTATCGTCGATTGTTCTATACACGCGATGCGAGTCGACACGGCTGATAAATATTAATTGTACTAAAATTGCACTTTCAATCAAAAATACGCACATCAGAGCCGATTAGAGTGCCAATAGTGTAGTACCAGTAATAAAAAAAAAAAAAAAAAAGAAAAATCCCATCGCACAGGTGCAGAGTCGAAGATGCCAAAAAAGCTCCCCACCGCGGTGATAGCCGGTCTCCTGGTGCTTGCGAGCTCGTGCACGGCATGGCCCTTCCTCGACCAAACCTTAGGCCCGACGACCGAGCCACACCGGACCGATCCATCCGATCTGGGGGCGATAGTGATCCGCGACGACGACGAGGAGGAGTACGACGTGGTGGACAACTCGATGGAGGGGGGCGAGGCTTGGTCGGACGGTGAGTTGTCGGGGCACCTCGAGCACCTCGAGGGCCGGCTGTTTGGCTCGCCGAGCAACGAGACGGGCGCCAGGGTGGACGGTTGGCACGAGGGTCTGGGCGTCAACCCGGAGGAGCTGGGCGAGTACGCCGAGGGCGACATACTCTACCCCCTCGCGATGGCTCGGAACGGGGTCAAGGTCAGGAAAAAAAAAAAAAAAAAAAGCACGTTTATACATAAATCGATCGAGAGGGGGAGAATTAATAATCGTTCCGAATGATATTGCAGGCTGAGAGCGCCCGCTGGCCGAACGGGGTGGTGCCCTTCGTCATCAGTCCGTACTTCAGTGAGGATATACCATTTATGATTATCTATACACATAATATAAATATATTGGAGGTAAAGAAGAAATAAAGTGTTATATTATTGACAATGAACAGACGAGCAACAGCAGAGGGTCATAAGGGAGGCGATGCTCGATTACCACAAGCACACGTGCGTCAAGTTCAAGCCGTACGCCGGCGAGGAGTCGGACTACCTGCGCATCACGGCGGGGAAAACCGGGTGTTGGAGCAGCGTCGGGCGCATGGGCGGCAGGCAAGACTTGAACCTGCAGGTGCCCGGTTGCGTGGCGAGGAAGGGCACCGTCATACACGAGCTCATGCACGTGGTGGGATTTTTGCACGAGCAGAGCCGCCACGAGCGCGACCAGTACGTCAGTGTACAGTGGCAGAACATCAATCCGGGTAAGTTTCGGGGGAGTTTTTTTTTTTTTCAATGGGTACTGCAGTTTCTTGGGTGTGTGGACAACGATTAGGAATCACTGACAAAACGTATTTTACATCCATTCGATTGATTCATCATCCATTTCAACAAAAAATCAAACCTTAACAAGCAAACGTTAAGTTTCGAGTTTACTTTATTTGTCACACTTAGCGATAAAACTACGGTGATGATAAAATGTTTGAATTAAGAGACAATTCAGTTATTTTTAAATTTAGTTATAATAATAAGCGAACTTTTTTCCGTATGTGATCAAAATAATCAAAATAATTGTCATTGGAAACGGTTGTTTATAAAAAATGGCCATGTCTAGTACACATATAGGAAAAAAGGCATCCCTCGCCAAGCATGTAATAACGAAATATATAAATGTTACATTAAGGTCGCGAGTCCAACTTTGAAAAGTCGCGCATGAGCACGACCGAGGCTTTCGGCATAGGCTACGACTACGGCAGCGTCATGCATTACTCTGCCCGAGCCTTTTCCCGTAATGGCCAACCCACGATCATTCCCAAGGTGAGTACCCGTACCTCAGCTCTTAGGCACACTTTGCCATAAAGATGTGTGTATATATATGTATACGTGCGCGCAAACACGAGCTCTCGCAAGACAAAGACGGAAAGCAAAATGAGATAAAGCCTCTGTTTTGACGCCAGGCTGTATTGGGAGCATCGAGATAGGTGTCAGCTTTTCCCACAAGTTATTGAAGCCGTTGCTTTTATTTGCAAAGATTTTTATTTTCACACCGCCCGTAAAGATTGCCCTCCTCCCCACCTCGCTCCTTTTTTTTTTTTTTTTTTTTTTTCTTTCAAAACAAAGTAATACAGAGACTTGGGAGACCCTAACAATTTCATACGCACGTTGGGTAGTTTATAGCTCGTCTCGTTTGATGGTACCCTAACTACGACTGCAGTTAATGCCGCTTTCATTTGGGGCTCCTAATGTCCTCGACGTTATTGAGAGTATTCGTTTTTCGAGGCGATATCATTGAGGGCGTGTAAATTGAGATATTCACCAAATTTGTGCGTTATTTTTATTATTATTATTATTTTTTTTAAATTGTATTTGCGATGCTACGAGCGCTCAGATAACAAACAACCTCGCCGAAAAGATATAATTCGTGTGAGTGTTTGTTCTCCCGTGTTTTTTTTTTTTTTTTTTTTATTAGTAGATGTGTATGTATTCTGTATCGTAAAATTTTTCAGACGTACTCCATCGACAGCATTGGTCAGCGGGAGGGTTTCAGCGTGAGGGACATAAAAAAAATACGAAGGATGTACAGGTGCAGCAGCCGAAGACGCCACTATGGCGCTAACCTTTGAAAACCAAATTTATGGCAGTGAAGCAAAGTCGAGTCATGTTCTACTTCAACTTTTTTTTTTTTTTTTTTTTTTTTTCTTTTTTTTATCAAAGCTAAGTGATAACTACCTACGTGTATCTGTAAACACGTTTGGGTGTGTTTGTGTGTACATACTTTGTATTCGTATGTACCTAACATATTATGTTGATGTTTAATCGAGAATCAAGCGCTAGTCCATAACAATATTACTTGCCAAGTTTTTGTTTGTGAGAATTTGGATACGTTTATTGTTTTGTTATTAATTCCAAGGTATTACTATTATTGTACGACGACCCTCTATACGTAGCAAGTTTAACAAAAAATATACTTTTGGCTTTTTCGGAGCTTAAGATATTTTGTACCATATATCAGCGTGTCCGCGTTTGCATGTATCAAATACGATAAAATATAAATTATCATCTTGCAATTAAATCGTAAAAGTGTTATTTTTAATTTCATAATTACATGTGCGAGTGTGTATGCGTAAGGACACGATTCAAAAAAGTAGAGCATCTGATTCGTTCTCAATTTTTTTTATTTTTTTTTATTCAGAACATTTTTTACAGCCTATATCTCTAAACGGTTATAGTACAGGGACTAAGAGGGTCATGGTATGAAAAAAAAAAAAAAAAAAAAAAAAAAAAAAAATTAAACTCATACCCAATAATTCTAACAGCACAATACCAAACAATGTAAATCTATGTTATAATCTTTACAAAAAATAAAATGTAGATAGTTCGTTTGATGTAATTAATAATGATAGTGACGATAGTGCGTATAGGAAATCTTTATTATTACAAGCTAAGACATTCCAGCGATTGACAGTTGCAGCATCCGCACGATTATTACGTGGGTAAATATATATTTGAGCTATTCTATGCAACAACTCAAGTTGGGAGGCCAAAAAAAAAATCGCAAAAATTTATACATTTTTGAAAAAAAATTTGAATCTGGTTGTCCAATGGATTTTTTTTTTCTTTCAAACAAACCCAAGAACTTGAAATATCTTTCGTCATCTCGGAATTCGGAAAAAAGCAAAATTCATTGCTTGTTTGTTCACGATCAAAAGGACCCACAACTGCACTTTTCTCACGGAAGCACTCAAATACACAACACTCGGATGTAAAATCGCTACAGTGCCAATTTTGACGATCGATCGGAAGAAAACATGTACAAAAGACACCAACTCGGACGTACGTCGCATGTCACGCCATTTCGATCGAGTACAAGAGAAACAGAGCGAACGCACTCATCACGATTCTCGTAGCACCCACTCGCATAAAAAAAAAAAGCACTCGAATTCTCCAACTATACACACGTCTCCCCAAGACGAAGCATCGATCTTTATCGCGAGACAACCCAGCCGGTTTTCGGGGCGTAGTATCGATACCCGGTCATACACTCGAATAACGATTAGTCGTTGATGAATCGCAAACATCTGTTGTATCTATTGAAAAGAAAAACAAAAAAAACAAAAAAAAAAATGTCACATGGACGCACGTAGGTACTGCACACACAAATGAACACAGGCGTTCCCTCAGCGTATCCACGTCTTCCTGACAAAGTCGGCGGCCCTCTCGCCGATCATGATGGCCGGGGCGTTGGTGTTGCCGGAGGTGACGCGCGGCATGATGCTGGTGTCGGCGACCCTCAGCCCCTGGACGCCCCTCACCCGCAAATTGTGATCCACCACGGCCAGGGGATCGTCGTCCGGGCCCATTTTGCAGGAGCCCGCCTGGTGGTTCTCCGGGGCCGTGTCGTGCTTTATCGCGCACTCCCAGTAAGCGTCGCAGCCGAATTTTAGGTCCTCGCAGTGCTTCACCGGCGTGCGGTCCAGGGCGAACCCGTACCTGTCGAAGACATTTTTTTTTTTCTCAATTTTTTATCCCCCTGTTAAATCCTTTTTTGAACATTTCATTTGACGAGGAAAAAAAAGGGATCGCACGCGATCTCTTTACATATAAAGCGCAGAATGTGTTTGAACGGTGAAAATCGCTTTGACCGAAATTCCAGCCCGTACACTCGGAGTAGATGGCTCTTTGGTGAAATTAGTCGGGATGTTCGTCCTCGTCCCTCAACTGTTGTACTGATTGAAATAAGTATAATGGAATTTGGTGTTTCATGTGTACGTGCACGAAAAGTATGAGCTTCCAATCATCGTCTATGCACTTTTCTTTGTGAATCAACTTACGAAGGGGAGCATAGTAAAAGCATTAAGCAAGCAATGACAATCATTCGTTTTTAACATATGGCTTGTATAAAAATAAATATCCATTTGTTAAAAAAAAGTTACTTTTTGTATTGAGAGGAAAAAAAACGATATCGAAAGTCACCAAATGTAGTAAAATTTCTTTTATTTCCGTTGTCGGAGAAAAAGAAGTAGACACGTATATATAGGAGGGGTCGACTGAACTCAGTGGTGTAACCCTAAAAAGTTGTCACAATCCGTAGTCCCCCTTACAAAGAAAAGTTGTAGCCTTACCGCCTGAGGGCCTTGGTCTCGGTGAGTGCGATGCTGAACTTGACGCCCTCGATGAGTGCGGCCACGTCGTCCGGCTCGGTCAGATACTTGGCGTAGATGAGGGGCTTGTCCAACGGGTCGTTGCTCCTCAGCTTCAGGTAGCCCCGGCTCTTGGGGTGCAGGATGGTCGGGATAATGAGTATCACGCGGTTCGAGCCCTTCTTCTCCCCAACCATCCCCGTTTCGGAGCAATCGGCCAGATAGCCCCCGAATATCAGTTGCACGTCCGGGTGGTCCTCGCTCTTGTCCGCGTACTTTGTGTTTATCATAGCCGTCACCTCGGATATACCTGCGGCAGGAAATCGGTCAATTTTTTACTTTTACATTAGGGGATGAATATTGGGGGGGGGGAACATTTTTTCACTGCAAATCGTTCGTTGGGTATACGCGTTGTGTTTTGTTCGTCGTTGATGAAATGAAACCACACGCGCTTTTTGTCACATCCACAACATTTTTCTCGTAGCACGTATAAGTATAAGCATACCGAGAGTCATTTGCAATCGTTAAGAAATTATGTACACGCTTGGAAATTTTTTTCATCCAAAAGTTGTCGCAGGTCGAAAAGAGCAACCAAAATGAATGGGTCCGAGCTTTCGGAGGTTTGCGCACGGCGAGCATCATCTCGGTTTATGAATTATTTCACGATAAAATGTACCCAACCGCGGCATAGCACGTATATGATATATATCTCGTCAAATTGGAACGTGGATTGGTTAACTGGATTAGAGGAAAGGGTAATCAAATCGAGGGGGAGGAAATGAGGTAAATTCATCATCGGTCTCCTGCCAAATGACGATGGTCGGTGGGTGTGTATAAGTGGATAAATTAATCCCAAAGTCGCTCCGTAAATTAATAATGCGTTGAGCGTGACTGTGACGCTCGTGTAAATTGGAAAAACGAGGCCTACGTACATACACCTACTATACGTGTAAATTATTTCGTAAACATTATAAGAGAAATCTTGTATTTTGAGGATCTTACACGTTTATTTGGCACCAAGCTCATGCTCTGCAACTACTAAATTTCCATCGAAAGGGAAGATTTGAGACCCATTGGAAAAAAAAAAAAAAAAAAAAAGCGCAAACCATACATGTGTATCATATATCTGCAGCGTGACTGTGAGCTCAGAAGCTCTTACCGCCTATATGAACACAGAATGCAGTAGATAATACATGAAACATTCAACGAGTCCATCATACACAATAGGGCAAAGCATACATCCCTCTCTCTCTCTCTCTTTTTTCCTTTTTTTATCGCGATGCTCTCTCGCGTGCACGACAAAACAATCCATTCCCTTAATAATATTTACGCTCATACATGTACTTAAACTTACCCATACAATCGCGACAACCCGGCAAAGATTACAACGTCGTTGTTTTCAACAAGCGAAAGATGAGCGAAATAAACAATGATAACAACAATAGTTGGCTAAAGTATTACATATATTATACCCGTGTACCCGTATATCTCTGTGTATATGTTTATATAGGTATACATATGCCGATGTGCGGCCTCGTGCAATAAAAGCCGCGCGTCCGCGATAAATTGGAGAGCTCGACAATGGGCCCATTATACAATCCGAGGCGGGGGAATCGCTCTTGAAGTCGTGATGTCTCGGTAGGGAGGGGGGGGGGGATCAATGGATGCATGACAAGAACACAGCCGAGATGGGAGGAGGAGTAGAGAAAGCGAGTCGAATCAGGACTTTCCATCATCCGTATGCACGTACATAGTGCGCCATCGGACTGTTTTTCCATCGACGTCCCCTCGGTGTCACGTATACGTAGTGGAGGAAGGAAGGGAGAAAAATGTCCTGCCGGACAATTACGCGCTGCTCACGCGATACTACTCTCTGCGCCCTTTGTTTGTTCGTCCTTCGTGGCTATTGGGGGGGAGAAAAAAAAAACACGATGGAAGGGAGTAATTGCGCGTCGATCGTGCCATTAATTGCCGAAGATACGGTGCCTCTTTGCTTTGCTCCTGTCTTTTCTCCAATGGGTATACATAGGTATACATGAAGCACACACGTTTTTTACACGTACCCCAATGTACACAAACGTGTTTGTTTCTGTACTTATCACTTGAGATTCCGTGGAGTTTATTTGCCATCAATATAATATACACATATATACATACGTATATGTAGGATTTTCGCGTTATTTTTCACGCGAGCAAGCTATAGGGAATGTTGATGCAGGAGCTGAGGGGAGCAGCGCATATATACTTATAACATTACATTTAGCTAACGAGTCACGTTTGTTTACCTTGCGATCGGAGATTTATATGTTTCGATATCTTGGCTTTTACAACTGTATAAGTTTCGAGGGAGAAACATACAGATAAATAATTGCTCCTTTTAATTTATCGGCGCTTACGGGCGAATGAACCATCTCCGAGGCCTTAAACTTGCTTGTAACTATTTATACACGATAAGATTAATCTGCCCATCTCGCATAGTTTTGCCTTTCGCAATGCACTGTGTATATAATATACCTACGGACCAATACGCGCTGTGTGTACATCCTTTCATTTTATTCCCTATTTACGTGTACTCTATAGGCCTCCATTTGTGCTATACATATTTTATATTGCCGACGACACCAACAAAGCCGATCGATATTTCTACTTCCCGAGAAACATAAAGCAATTGCAGAACCGATGAATTCACTTATGAACAATGAAATTATCTCTCAATCGAACGTACGAATGTTAATCAAGGGTTGAATATCAACTGCACACAATGTAATTTGATTGCCTGTATCGAATATTGACCGATAGTAATAATTATACACGCGTTGTGAGGTATCATTAGTCCAATCTCGTATTAATTTGGTTGTAATTGAAGTTTGAAAATTTAACTTTAGTATTTTTCCGTTTATACTTGTACCAAAAGGGATGATCTGTAATTAATTGTAAAATTATATTACTTACAATGAAATCACGGTATTTATCCACTTTGCTAGTACAAACGCAACCCCATCGGTAATGTTATAAATGTATTCTGTTCTAAATAAACTTTTCCTCCTCCTTTTAATACAGTATTCGCATGTCAACTTTCCCCGCCTATTTATCTCGCGTGGACGCCTCTATATCCTTTCCCTTCGCTTTTCATCCTACGGAGCCCATCCCATCCGGACAGTTATAGTTACTCCGGGGCGCGCGATAAATTATTCATGCCCGCCTGAATGCAAATTCGCGGTCGTGCAGTTCCATTTTTACCTTGCCCGGTCTTAATTGAAAAGCTCGAAAAATGTATGCAGGTTCATCGTACAAGAGGGCGCACCTTCAAAAGCTCTGCAAGCTTTCAGGCTCACCGTAAAAGGCGCAATCCTCGAACAATACGTAGCAATTTTTTATTGGTTGCATGTCATTCGGATTTCATTCGTGGCATCGGAACAAAATAGACGAAACTCGCATAAGGTGTGCAACGCAGCAAAGCGACAATGATCCAGTTTTGGCAAGTTTAGCCAGTGATGTATGAAGCAGCTGATGGCACGTCTCTAGCTGCAGATGTTACCCTTACAGACGCAGTTCTCTCTGTGTCCGGATATTATTAAATTTTTTATTCTCTAACGAGCGAAGCCGGCGCTGGATAACATTTTCGCTTCCGATTAGTCTCATTGACATCTAAAACACGTACATCGGAGCAGTTAAAGTTTTTTTTTGTCTTTGAAACTTTTTTCGTCTCTTTGCAAATATTTTTTACTCCAGCCGTATGAAAAGTCCGAATTGATACCACCATGCCAAGTAAAACGGACTAAAATACAAAGAGAGAGGAGGTAGCGGTGCATGTATGTCATTTCTCGATACTAGGAAGTCGTTTTTGCAGGAGCTATAAAGAAAAAAGAGGTAAAAAATATTAAAGACGAGAGAAAGGAAGCTTATGGCCTATGGCAAGTATTACGTGTGCGTGCAATTTACATGAGCGATTCTACAAAAAAAAAAAAAAAAAAAAAAAAAAAAAAAAAAAAAAAAAAAAAAGTCAACAAATGTAGAGTTTCATTGAATGGCAATGATTGTTATTATTAATTTACAGATTCATGTTCAGTGCAGCACACATTTTAAAATGTATTAATCACTACTTAGTAAGTAGGACCAAATATTTTGTAAACAACATTGTTCTTATTTATGCACAACACATTTGTTACCCAATATCTTGTTATCGCTTGTTTGTCAAACCAATACACTGATGGGTACATCATCGAAATCTCGTCGTGATCGTAATGGTAATTTCATAATTTTTGATCGATAAAATGTACGAATACCCACGATGATTTCACCATACCAGATGACCTATTGTTGTTTTCATGGTTTCATTAAAAAATCCCCGATTCTATGAAGCAATACATGTATTAGTCATAATAAGTTTGGCGCACTTCTTTGTCCTCTATAACGTGCGAAATTCTGTTATCAAGGGAAAAAAAATGTTTATCTACAAAACTACGATGCACATACATAAGTTATTATCAAATCAAAAAAAGGTAAAAAAAAAAAAAAAAAAAAAAAGAAAAGTAACAAAAGGCAAGTCAACAACCGCTTAATTTATTCACCAAATTCTGTTTAGCGAATGTAAAAAAAATTTCTTTTAATTCAAAGGTCAAATATAGGTGTACTATATCAAGTGTGAAAGTGAAAAAAAAATCTTTTTTTTTCTCTATTCTCTACGCACTTTGTTGTGAAGTATCCATACAAATATGGTTATTAAGATAAATTTATCAGAAGTAATGCTTTTTGTCTTTAAAATAGACATTTTACTTTAAAAGGACATTTACATCCGTTTATCTCTATCGAACAACGTAACATTTAGAAGCGTAGTGTAACATTCGATTATTTTATACCGATTTTTTTACCGATTTCTACTACTTTTTATTAATTTGTTTTCGTAATTTTTTTTTTCTTTTTCGCAAACAGGTAAGTAGACACATCGGGTCCCTACTGCTAAAATAGCTTTATCTAGTAATGAAATGAGGAAATGCTAAGAGGATCAAGGGAGTGTGGAGTGGCAGGCCGACCGGATACTATGGGTAAAAAAAACAAGGAAAGGAAGCGTCGACACGTCCGAACGAGGAAACAATAGTTGTTGGACACCTTGATAAGGGATTTTTTTTACTTCCTTCCTTTTCTTCGGGGTGAAAACAGCTGATTGCTCAAATAGCATGAATTTAAATTATACTTACTTTAACCACATCACTCCTTGCAACGAGCAAAGACTTTTTGAAATTTTTGAAAGAATTAAANTGTACTATCCGTAGTCCTTGACGCAAAGACCATAGAGAAGAGTCATACGTT